TGGCGGGAAACTAAGAACACGGACGGATACGTTGATTTCCAACATTCCATTAACTTAGTTATGCATAACAAGCACCGTATTATGTAAACAATGAAAAATACTAACTAGACTGCAAAAGGAACCTTGAAAATTATCTTTTAAGGATCTTAGCATTGACTAGGATCTACCTATCACATTTTATAGTTGCCAGTAGAGATTTGTGGCATATAATAAACCTCAAACGTGGCAAAACTTACGATGCTTAGACGAAAATATAAATCATTATTCTTACTCCATAATACTTATACTTTGTTTAACGCAAATTTCACTTTTTATTTTATGAATCTACGGGCATGCCAATGAAACCATAAGTTTGGTAAATAATAAAAGTTTGGTAATAAATCAACGTATCAAACTCATTTTAGAACTTGTAAAATTAACAAAATCTTGTGAGCGTGTCATTCAAAACTTCTTTCGTATGCATTCCTTGACACTAAACTGTTAATTTAAAACTTCTATATTTTAAAATATAATTAACTAGTATTTTACAAACATTAAATTAATGGCTTCTAAGGTGCATAATTTACTTACTGTTTCTACGATATCTAGACGTACAGTCGTAAAGCTTTTAGCATAAATAAAATGTTTGCAAAAGCATGTAATAAATCAGCATTAGTTCAGTGAGGTCAAGTTCAAATTATGCAGAACGTGTGTAAACAGCGTAAGATAACGTTTTATCCGTTCTCCCTTTTGATTTGTACCCTTCACAAGGGAAATCTTTTCCCTCATAATGCGAATGCAAAACCGATTTGTCGCCGTCCAACACATATCTAAACTTTGATGTACTGTCGTGGGCAAAAGTAGTACCAAAAAGCATTTTAGCTTCTCAAGATTATCTGCTTCATAACCAGTTTCTCCTAATAGTACAATAATCTGGTACTCAAAAATATGTTAGGTAAGTTGATATGTTTAAAGATTTTGTCGTAGTACTAATACTAGTACGTACTGATAATATGAATGAAATACAAAATTATTAATATTTTATGTATTTATTTACACTTACTGTATTACAACTTGCACGAGGCGGACTTAATGCCACATGACCTTATCTACCAGTCAACCTTAAGATGGTTCTGTAAGGGACATGGTCATTTTTAACCGACTTCAAAAAGGAGAAGGTTATCAATTTATGTTTAGGCATAACTCCGTCATATATAGACGGATTTTCAAAATTCTGTTTTGCCCGAATGGAGTTTATTCCGAAATGGTCCCATTTAAGTTTCATATAGATCTGATGATTTTCGGAGACAGACTACGGCACTCCTTAAAAAATGACAGCAAATCAACCGCAAATACTGCTAGGTTTTTAGTGCTCTTTGTTAATAATGTTTGAAGTCGGTTCAACTTTTTTTTAAGGGATTTTGTTGTCATTTAGATAAACAAATAACCTATAAAATATGAAGGAAAACCCAATATTAGACAACAATTAAAATAGAAGACAGCTATGGTTAAAGGCAGTGTAGGTGCACTCAGGACTTAGAGAGGCGTGGCTTAGAGACAATGACGAATCTGCTAACCTTGTCACGCCCAACAGTTTATATTATTTCTATTTATGATGTTTTTTCACGTGTTATACTGATATCTATTTATCTATGTCTATCCAGGAGTTCTTTAACTCGTCGGTAACTCTATACCTATTATTGAGTTATATCGGCCTGGTAACTCACACAAAGCGTTTTGTACCTTTCTGTACTTTTGTAGGTCCAGAGCTGAGTCCAACTATGTGACATTTCCCTGCATCTACTATCTAAAGGTTGCAAACACAAACGCTAACTGAACTCCCGCGAAAGGTTACATTAGCTGCAAATTCAATACTATGTGTACACTTTGCCTTACCCACAGTCATTACAAGCCGTTTGTTTAAATGTTCTTCATTTTGTCTACAATCGGAGATGTATGACGATGATAACGTACATATGTATGTTTGTATCATTCGTTAGTAGACATTACGTTGTTAACTAACTTTATTGGTTAATCGTTTACTTTGATAAAACAGCGATGTTTGATTGTTTAATATGATACCAAACTTAATTATAGAGAGTCAAATCATAGTTATTCTGTGATTTCGAATGTGTTGAGATAAACGTGGAATGAGTTGTTATATAAAAACTAAAATATTTAAATTAATGTAACAACAACTCAGATTACTTTAAAAGTAATAAGTTTAGTTAGGTTACTGTTGCAGCCACACCTGACCTTTTTCTTCGTGTTTCACCAACACTATCCACTAAGGAGTCATGCCAGAATGTTTACAAGCCTATTCTCCTTCCCATGAACTTTAACTAACTATATCAGAAATGGAACACTGTTCCTAGGCCCCTATAAATTTCTGTGTGAAAATATAGAAATTTTAATTTTAATATCTACCTAGTTCTACTTTTCCGTTGACCATTAATCACTTTAAATACTTTTCTTTTTCATTAAACACTATTTGTGAAGAACTCTTATTTGTGAAAATACATTAGGTACAAGAATAATTTAATGTGACTGACGCCTATTAGTGTAATGGAATAAACTCTAAACTACTTCGGTACATAATTAATATGGCCTAAGAAATAGCACTGAATATAAACATTCAACTTTACTGGTCCTCTTTATTGTTACTAGTAATGGCTAAAGCTTGTAACACTGTCGTATAGGCTAAAGCTAACTCTTGCAAGTTATATTCAAAAGCCATTTTAAAGCTATTTTAATTATTTGCGTCGCTCATAATTTACTACCTACTTCGAGTTCAAAGCTCCTATTGACTTGAACAACTCACACTTTATTTATTGGAGCTGTATCGATCCCATTTGTGGTAGGTATGGAAGTAGTTCGTAGCTATAAATAGATCCACTTAGCTTCTTTGCATTTTAGGATTCTTTTAGTCGTTTTATTGTTCTATACATATTTTATAATACATCTACAAATTTTATATTATGGTGACTGCATACAAAGGTTAAGCCAAAAAGAAAGTAATAAAAGTAATAAAATCAAAAGTTGTAACTTCAGTAGAGACAGATGTCAGCAATAACAAAATTATAAATTCACCTAATCAATGAATCATAATCTGAAAAAACCTGTACTTTACGGTTTAAATAATGTTGTATTGAGTCTGTGTCACGACGACGATTTTTCGACAATTTACGAATATTTTTACACTGTTTTGATGTACAGTCAAAGGTTATAAATGCAGTAGCACCATAACGTTCATATTCGCAGGGCGGTTCTGTATCTATCTTTGTGTGTGTGGTGTTTTAATGCACTCGCATGTTATAACCAGATAATACAGACGTATAATGTTAGTTGGCCACAGGCATGTATGCACAACACTAGATACCTAGACACCTATTCATACGTTTTCTTCGTATTGAACTTCCAGTTGTAGCACCTATTTGAAAGCGATGCTAAAATTCAACACAGTTGTCATTAGCTTACTTCCACACCTGATGACGAGTGGCAACAGTTCGAACCTCAGTGCCTAATATTTTTTTTAACTTTTTGTTATCATGTCAGGATATATTTTTTGCATTCTGTTACTTTAAAATTACTGCAGTTTACGGAGGTATGACAATGATTAAGGTATAATATGTAATTTAATAAAAAAAATTTTTTATCACATGATAGTTTATTTCTATATCAACCTTTAAAAACAAACTAAACGTTTAAAATAAACACATATATTTTTCATAAACTATTTTGTTGTTTTTACAATTTGTTCTTGTTGTTTATATAGGCTTACAGTTTAATTTGTTAATCTTTCACGATTTCTATACGGTTTAGATCGGTCGATCGCACTGGCCATGGAGTGTCTTTAAAATTCGAATATTGATGTGATTGAAACAATACTTATAATACCAGCACGGTGTATCGCACCGTTATCTTAAATAAAATAAGTTCACTAAATTCTTGTAGCACGCAGCACAGTAGGTAGCTTTATGTCGTTTGAAACCTCGACGTAATTAGAGTCTAGTTGGTTTGGAACCATTTGTTTCACATTCACCAACTATTAGGCATCACTGAGACTGGAGTAGGCCAAAACCTCCTTTCTAAGGAGAGGTTTATGTTCAGCAGTGGACTGTTATAGGCTGTTGATGAGACTGGTTAAAAAGTGGCGACGGGTAACAATTCATTCACTCAACATCTCACAACTTTAAAAAAAAATATAATTCTTATTAGACATCTTGACCCAACACTTCAGTGATTATATAATAAAATCATACACCACAATTAACATCACACAATCCATCAAAATAACTTACCACCAATGGCCACCAACCGACCAATGGCGGAAATACATATTTTCTGGTGGCTTATAGATTTTTACATGTTACGGTTAGAAACGAAACCGCTTACCGCATACAGGTTCACAAAATATTTCAGCAACTAAACGTATCATATTAATTAAATCTATAATTAATTAAATCTGTGGGAAATTCCTGGTTATCGTTAACGTACCTCGGGCCATCACGGCGGGTAGATGACGCCCTCCTGTGTGGGAACCCCCATGTTCCCTTTTGTGCTCCCGAAAGGGCACGCGCGCATCGCAACGCGTCTCGCCGCGACCCTGGCCTGCTTCTGCTAGTGTGACAGATGGCCTCACCTGTCACCCCCAGGCCTGCGCTTATGGAGGACGGAGGTCGTTCTGCGATCTAAACCTCTCCCGGGCCCGCTCCGCCATCTCCTTTGCAAGCATAACTTGCTCACAGAAGGAGACGAAGGAGTAAATCCTCCTGCATTAAATTAACCTTAAACGGTTTGTAAGGAAAACATCAAAAGATATAGGAACCTGTCGCATTCTTAGGTATTCTTTTGATCGGTTCCATAAAACGGCCGTTTGTTTGCTACCATCTAAAATGAAAAGTCGTTAAATATTACAAATTCGGTATCCCTTACATATGTTTGCTGCCATAGAATAATTATGTTCCTGAAAAACTATGTTTAAAAATGTAACATTAACGGTTTTAAATATTTGTCAACAGTGAACAAGAAGCTACTGTGATGAAAGCCAATCCTTGGCTTTACCATTACTACGCAGTTCAGTCCAAGCTACATTACGGTCTAGCATACGAAGCAGCGACGAGGATGTATGGGCCGCCACCACCGGACATCCAAGTCTACCCACCAACGATGCAGTATCCATCTACACCACCTGTCTGCATCAATGGGAACCAGCCCGTCATGATGCCAAAACCCGGGTATCCAACCACACATTCCACATGCCCCGCCACACTTAGCGCCAATGCATTATGCCTATGAAAGAGCAGATACCGGGCCCGTGGACTACTCAGTCTCACTGCAAGAAAACAGGTAAATTTTGCTACCCTCTGACGGCCTCTGATGTTGATGGCGAACAATTACTACTTGTGCAAATGAAATAAATTACTCGAGATTCAAATTTTATCTATATTAAATTGTCAGTTTACCTAGCATCGAAACGTTTAGGTATAGAGTATGGCCTAGAAATTATCTTGCTAATTGCACTCTGACCTCATACTGTCCATCAAATGTGTCGGCTTTGGAATGCGTATGTAATTAGTTTCGTCTTTATATAGTTTCCACAATTGATTGTGACAACCCTCCTTAGTTAAACTTAAAGAAATCTCACATGTGTAACTTTAGATTCCTATTTCAGATACCACAATATACGGCTAGAGGATACGAGGATCCAGCCTAATGCTAAACGGAAAGGAAAAAATGTTGATGAAAAATCAAATACACCAGTTCCAAATATGTCTCCTCGCTGCACACCTTCAACAGTTACATCAGGCGGAGAAACACTAGTAGCAGTTTCAGCAGGGTCAATTGCAAGTAGGAGGCCAGGATCGAAGAACTTCAATATAACAGAAACAGAGATGGTTGATCAGTGGAACCCAAGTCCCACGTGGTCGGAATCAGCTTTACAAAAGGTTCCAGACGTTTGTCACCAGGACTTAAGTCCTTACGTGACAACAACACCTCCCACTCCATCTGGAACACCCACAGCCTATACACATAATAATTACAGTCATACGTTCGTATTTGATTGGTCTCCAGAACAATATGTTCCTCATACTAATAATAGATGTAACACTATAACTACAGAAAGTTCCTATCAACAGACATGGAATAGGAGTCAAAGGACAACGTTCGCAAATAATGCGGATAATTCCATAGATGAGAACTCCAATCCTAATAGAATAAGTTTACCAATGAGGGTCAGTATTCCACCGCCAGCGTATAATGCATCTAGAGAGGATACGCTTAGAAGGCAAATTGGTCAGTATCTACATATATTTGAATTCAATGAATAGAATTTTCAGTTATCGTATCTACTTTTCGAACCAATATTTCGTATCTTAAGATAGTTGGAATCTGTTTCAGAGTGCACAGATTGTAGATACATAAATAAAGCAAGATAAATGCGTAGCAGCAATGCCTCTACACTACCAACACTAGATAAATTACCAACATATACATATGTACTAACATTTACTTTTCTTTATTGTTTTAGAACATCCACATCCAGATTCGCCGGATGCCAAAAAGCCTGCATTATAACCGTAGCAATAATTTTGTGTTATTTCTATAAATAGATAAATAATTTGTTACCTTGTAATAATAAATTTTATTAACATTAGTAAAAGCTCTGGAACTCTCCTGTGATCTATGTGTTATTAAGATTTTATTGTAAAATGATAAAATGTTTGTATATATATTGTCGACTATCGAGAATTTTGTACAAAATAATATAGTAAGTGTTTAGCTAATATATGTAGGTATTCAAGTAGAGCATTACCATTCGCATACAATGTGATTTGTTTGTGTGTACGAAATGTAATATTTTTGTAAATACTTTTTAGTAAGTTTATAGTAGGTACTCTGATACCGTCCAATTGCTTCCTCGTATTAGGTATTACGAGTTATGTTCATAAATTAAACACGAATGCAATATTGCTTTTAGTATCGTTCAAATACAAAACTACAACTCAATGTTGAATAAAACAATAGGCATTCTGGTTTAACTCTGTCTAATTTATCTTTCAGCCTTTTAAATATATACTAGAAATATACAATGTATATCAGGTGTAATGTACATATATACTAGTATATTTTTAATTCAGAAGAAAACATAGATAAAATTCTAAAATACTAGTTACCTTTGTTTTATTCTAAGAATATTCCTCGATGGTATTCTTCTCTTCGTATTCTATTTCAGACACGAATAAAAAGCAGTACCGCGGGTACCAGATTGAATATATTTTAATTAGTTTGTAAAAGCTACATTCCTTGATGATCAACCTTTATGTGTAACTCCGTCCAGTATTGGAACTCGTAGAATTAAGTATATTGTACAAAATAGTCTGTAAATTATGAAACAGGAAGAATTCTTGTAACAGGAGACATATCTAGTTTTAATTTATGATCACTTTTTTGTTGATTGCGTTTTGTGAAGTAAAGATTATTACGACCTTGAATATTTTGTTTCCTTTCGCCGATAAATTAAGTGTTAAAACAAAAGAGATGATTTTACTAGTTTTTATTTATTTAAAATAATTACATTACCAATGACTACAAATACTTCTTATACAATACTGGTTAATCGGGTCTGAGCCGCATATTACGCAAAAGACATAAATCTCTAGCAGTATCTTTTCTTCCATATGGAGTGGATAGATCATACAATCTAAGTATTAAACCTATATTAAAACCGCCTGGAAGACATTTAATCAAAGTTGGAACAAGTTCACTGGGCATTTTTTGCAGAACTAATTGTGCTCTGTCTTGTCCACATTGCACCACATATATGAGAAACTGCAAAATAAAATCAGTTTGAGGAGTGACATCGCCATTTTTTCCAGCTAACTGCGAAAACGAAGCAAACAGAGTTTCCAATGCAGATAGCAGGGGTTCCTTTAAAGTGATTCCAGAGATACTCTTTCCTTGATTGTAGTACATAGTGCTATCAGTAGAATTATCATTCATTCGTCTCATTTTATTACTTGAACAATGCTGATCTAAGTCCTCGGACTCATCATGACGCCGTTTTCTGGTTGGTGTAGTTTTGTTTGAATTACTATGTTCGAGAGCAGCGTAAATGGAATAAACCACGAGTTTGGCCAATATTGCAGATTGAGGTTCTACTAAATCTTCACTCAATTTTGCATTATACAAATATTGAGGTAAAACATGCAGAATCAAAGCCTCAGTACATTTTTCAATATCCAAATGAAACATAGCAATAACAATATCCACCGACCTATCTAAATCATCTTGGTAACGAAACTTCAATGTTTCCTTTACTAAGTTTGTGACAAACCAGATAGGTCCAGTTGTTTTCAAAAGACTTTCTATAATATGGGTAGCATCAATATGTAGATATCCTCTAGTTTTAATATCTTCCCACACAGTTTGTAATTGTTCTAAAATAGGATGTCTTGAAATAATGTTATGTGAGAGTGTCAGCGCCTTGGCCTTTGATAGAGAAAGAGGGTGAATATCATACTGCATCTTCCTTATAATTTGAGCCATCAGAACACTTTTCTCTTGGAAATTATCTAACTGTTTTACCTCAACCTCACTAGGTGGCACTAAGAACTGTTGTATCATATTAATAGGCTTCAAAACTGCATCTTGGTGAACAACATTAACATATGAACATAACCACACAGCAGCACATACTGCTAGAGATGGCATTTTTTGTCTTAGGGAATCCAACATAGACTTAACATCTGCTGATGAAAGAGAACCTTTCTCCCAAGCAAAAAGAATTTCTTTAACTACTCCACTTACATTCATACAAAGGTCATGAGGCTTAATATTTGTATTTTTAAAATCAAAGTCTGCAGCATTCAAGTGATGAATAAATACATCCACAAGTTGAGAATCACACTTTTGAAGAATTTGGTCAGGAGATTTATGAACTCCTTGGTAAACCATACAGTCCCTTACCCATTTTTCAAAAAATGAATCTCCATTTTCATCAAGAACGGCGTCTGCCCCATAATCTTGGACTATTGAGCAAAGAATGAGAAATGAAATATCAAAGATATTCACTTTGGACTGGGAAGCACCTTTCTCACTAGCAGCTAATAATGCAAATTCATTAAACTTAATCAACCTTGAGACAATTAGTTTTATCTTTCCTTCTACTATAGCAACTGCTAGAATTGTGTCCAGTGTAGCACCACCAACTATTTGGCAAAGCATTGCATATAAAGAGTCGTGTGTTTTATGAAACTCACCTCCCATTGTTTTTAGGATACCAGCTAATGTTGGTTCAGCTCTAGTGATGAATGAGGGTACAGACCCTTGAAGCCCAGTTGGCTCTAGTTTTAGTAATTTTACATCCTTATTTTCTCTCTTTTGTCTGAAGTACACCATATGATTTTCTGATATAACATTTAATTTCATTAGGGGTTCTAATAAGGATATGACACTATTACACGAGTTTTTTGTATCAACGATATCCAACAGTGGGGTGGCCTGCAACAACTTTTCAAATGCCTCAACAACCTCAATGGAGTACTCATTGTCTTTATTTGTGTTCCCACAAGTATTATGTAAATAGTGAATCACTTGTGGTATCTTCAAAAATGTAAATGCTGCCCACAAAGATTGTTTTAATGAATCTTTACTTGAATCATTCAATGAAATGAAACAGGCTCTAATCAGTTCACAATACAGTCTCGATAGAGAATATCCCTTGATTCTTTGTACCATAAGAAGATGATTGGATAATGTCTGCAAATCAGCACTTGGATTAGCAAGTACATTAATAGCTATCAACGCTTGTAAACAGTGAGTGATCGGCTCTGGTTTAGTATTCAGTGATGCTATTTTATCAATATCCATATTACAAATTTTCTGTAATGTCTCATGAATAGTGACCGGCGCCTTGAATTGTGTATTCATCATCATGAATGCAGTGATCTCTTGGCATTTCTTTGTAACTTCATTATATTCATTAGGGTCATTCTGCTTAGCGAGGTAGAACATTGCAAGCAAAAAGTCTGTGTTTACTATTGAGTTTAATAACAATGTTGATTTTTCCAGTAACTCTTGAGTTTGAATAGGGTTTGAAGATGGATATTTACTTAGGGAATAATGATACACTTGCAATAGCCATAAGATTATAGACGAAACGGCGAATGCCAACACCTCTTCTTCCATTTTACCCCGACATGTTATACCATCAAGAAAACTCTCCATAAACTCAAGTAGACTGAGAATGCAATGGGGTTTGTGAAATGCGTCAAATTTAGCAATCCGTTGTAAAACCGCTGCATAAGACACCAAGTGCGATGCCAGGGAATGCTTCAAGTAGGATATTACCAGTTGATTTGCTCCACAGCCAACCATAGCTTGCTGAAGAATACAATCAGCAAGGTTGTACAGATCTCCGCTGACACCTCTCGGAAGTATAGTCTTAATGTTTATACCCCATTGTATATCCGTCCATCGTTCTCTCCAAGCTTTTAGGATCAATGCCTTTAGAGAGCTTGTTTTACTTGTAACTTTAGAAGCATCCATTGTAACCATATTTTTACAGGATTCAACTGAATAATACAAATATATAACTGTTAATCCACTTCAACACTTAGTCATTCTTAAAGTATAAAATAGCTTTATTGATTATTTTATTCATATATTTCATATTAAATCATTTTTAATAAAACCGTAGAACTTCTAAATCGCAACGTCAACTTTACTTTACTTTGGGTTTAGCTAGTTTGTTTTCTTTGATCGGCCCTTGTTTTCTGAAGTTCGTGTAATAATATCATCATATGATTTGCTACTTCACACGAAATTTCAATTTATTGACCAATCAGCGTTTACGTGAGCAGAGATGTCACCAACAAAAAGAACAAAGTTGGAATCTTTGAACGTTTAGTTTTTGCAAAACAGAGAAAATACAGGTTGTTGATTTTATGGTAATATTAAATTGAATCGACGTAGGCAGTTATTTTATTACTATAGGTATTTCATTAAAAAATATTTTTCATTTTTAACAGATATAGAACTAAATTAAATGGCTAAAATTAATTGGCTCTTTTTCTTTTTTAAAATGTAGAAAGTTTTGCAATCATCAAAACGCAATGTCACAAAGTTAACCTCGTGGAAAGGTTTGTTTACAAACTTTGGCCACACAAAGTAATATTGAATTATTGAATATTAAAATGAGTTTCAGAAATTATCAAGATAAAATAAACGAAGGAGATACAGTTATTCTGTATATAAGTAATAACTTGTATGCAATCGACGTACAACGTGAAATAAAGAATAAAAAGGGGGAACTAGTTGATAATGTTTTTCAATCTCCTGTTGGTGCATTAAAAGTCAGAACTCTAATTGGAGTGGATTATGGAAGTCGAGTAAGTCATGGAGTATTTATTCCCTTAAGTATTTGGTAAAATCTACATAGGAAATCTTAGTTCTAACCTTATTACGCTGCACCTATAAATACAACAAGTTAAGTATTTCTACAGTATTTGAACTTATATATTTATAGTTAACGCATTATCTGAGTAAGATGTCTGTGTTTACATACAATTCACAGAGAAATTCCATAGCTGTAAATCATTTAAACGGTTCATATTACATATAATTTGTATTACTTACTTTATTTACACTAATATTTCATAAACTGTCTTACTAGGTTGAGCTTTCGAAAGGCTGGGGCCATGTTTTACAGCCTACTCCAGAGCTATGGTCATTGACTTTACCACATCGGACACAGATCCTATATACCCCTGATATCAGTATGATCCTATTGCAACTTGATTTAGTACCAGGGTCAGTTGTCATTGAAGCAGGTAAGGACTATTCTTAAAAATTAATTGTAAAGACTTGTTGGAAAACATTGTCATATAGTTTTAGTATAACTTTATTTTCCTTTCTTTTTCTTATTTTTTTTTAATTTATTTATTAAGCTTAGATGATCCCTTTCCCCTTTCTGTTCCCCTTTTTGTTTTTTTACTTATATATTTGTTAGTTTTCATATTATAGAATTCAAAGTACAGTTTTTATATCAATAGGCTTTTTAAAATTTTCACATCTAAAATATGCACCCACATCTTTTTAAAATACTAGTTTTTTTTTAATTATCAAAACCTTCAAACAAAAAAAAACATCAAAACATTTTTAATATTTCACATCTATAGTGCAGTCAAATACCTAGTGTTGTGGTCTCTACCACCTAGTGAATACTATTTTTTTTTTAATTACTGAATAAATAATATCACAGGTACTGGGAGTGGTTCACTAACCCATGCTTTAATAAGAAGAGTAAGACCTCATGGCCATGTCCATACATTTGACTTCCATGAGCACAGAGCAAAACTTGCTCAAGAAGAGTTTGAAGCACACGGGTTAGCTGATTTTGTCAGTGTAAGTTTTCTAATAAGTATTTCTCATAGATTAGTCAGTTTACTTTTGTTAAATGCAGATGCTGCATTTGAGATCTAAGACTCTTTATTTTATTTTCTGGCAAAAAACATATTGTGTGTTTTTGTAAATGTTAATGAGCCTTATGATAGTTATGACACCTCCTCCAAGCCTTTTTCCCAAACTAGTTTGGAGTCGGCTCTAAGTCTACTACGATACGGCTGAACTTCGATTTTTAGGGTTCCATACCTCAAAAGGTAAGGTAAGGTTCTCAATGTGTTAAGAAATGGTCTATACTATAGAATAAGCAATCCTAGCCAGGTCAGTCTATAGACTCTGTAGACTGACCTTTTTAGGATTGCTTATTTTTGCAATGTTTTAACCTACCCGGTTACATCTTGGCCGCAAGCCCCTCTCCGAATAAGTTATGACACCCTAAAATCCGTTATTTATTGGTTTACAATTATGTTTCTGTATCCGACGGACGTAGTTATGATCCGTCGGGTGTACTAGTAGTCCATAAACGTCTTCGTTCTTTTTCAAATATTTGAAAACAACTTCAAATAAAACTGATATATATATATATATACTAACTTTTAGGCTAAGCATCGTGATGTGTTAGCTGATGGTTTTGGTGAAGAATTAAAAAGCAAAGCTGATGCAGTTTTCCTTGACCTGCCAAGTCCTTGGATTGGTGTTCCCCATGCACTTGCAGCTATTAAAGATCAAGGTAAGAATATTACTTTTCTCACACAAACGCTAGCTATTGCCTATCTCACCATATTTATTACTTTTTCATTTGTTTCCCTACATCATTATATAGGACGGTACACATTGTAGGTACAAACAAACGGAAGAGACCCTTTGAAATCTCAGTAAGCTTCAATCTACTGTATGTAATTACGGCACGAATTAATCCATAGTACAGTGTGTAGATATATAAATTCGAAATATGGGCAGTGGAGATATTTTATTTCATACATTAGATTTTAAAACTTAACAGTTCATTCCTTTCATATTAACAAACAATTCTAGTCTTGAAAAAAAACGTTAGTAAATTTATAATTACAAAGAAAATTTTAAGTATAATTTTGTATAAATCCTATTAATGCTTTAACTTTGCGTAGATTTTGTGCATGCTTTTAGAAATGGACTCATTTGAGGAACATATTCGCTTCCCGTTTCGCTTTCGCACACGGTGTAATACGCAGCGACACGTATTATAAGTATTCAATGCTCTCGCAATCAGTAAAACACACGATCCGTCATATCTTTTTCATAAAAACGAAGACAGACTAAAAAATCTCTTTTTTTTAATTAACTTTTTTTCGGTAATTTAAGGAGCAGTTTTTAAAAATTTAGTAGTTAAATTATTTGGTAACAACTAATTACTACTAATTATTTGGTAGAGATCTCTGAGTTTGATGTACTTCTCTGTTGCGGATTAAATCGCTGAGAGCTAGGTATTTTCTCCGCGATTACATGTCCATTTTGATTTTCGCCTTAATTTTCGTCTTATGAACAGTTTGCTTATAGTAGAGATCATTTAAAAGTACTATTCTCTGAATATCTGAGTTTGATTAACTTCTCTGTTATGGAATGCTGAGTATTTGGAACATTGGGAACAATTTGTTTAAAGTAAAAATTGGCATCTGAAACAAACATGGTGTTCTTTTCTATTCCTTAATTATGTAATCAGTGTTAAGCGACAATAGATATTTCTAGCAGTATTTATTAAGTGAACAAGTGCTATAAATCTCTTAGAGTTATAGTTCTATTTGTGAGCACACAAGATCAAACAATTTATAAATGGTTTCTTGATAGTCCGATAAGAGATCGTTTGACTCAAGCGGAAAAGGACGGATCCTTATAAATCGGCGAAACAGATTGCGATCAGATTACAGCGTGTCGATTATTCAGATCCGTGTGTAAGTTATTCGATTCTATTCATTAATCTGGATAGTACAGATAATGAATTCTATATCTCTACATCGACTAAATAGATTTGAAAGTAGTTGAATTCCTGGCATTTCCAGGGTTGCCAAATTATCTGACAGATTCTGTGTAGATATTTAAAAAAACATTAAAAAATATAGAAATAATCAAGGAATTGGGGGACACTTTAATAATAACTTCCCTTAACTATTTTCAAGTATTCAACTGTTTGCATGTGTGTATTAAGAGGTTTTTTTTCCTTTACAACCGTTAAAACTTCTATTTACTTTATTATAACTACTGTAATTGTTTTCAATTTTAATCATAATTATAATATTACTTAGTAAACAGTTAGTTAATAAAACTTTGTTAACGTAGTTGATAGTACCTAGTGGTATTGCCCTATAAAAAGCATTGGGTTTTTTTTTACAATTTGAGAGAGATTTAAGATAATTCATTAAGCTCCATTCATTACACATAATACAGATTATAAGTTACAAGGTAAAAAGTAGAGCGACACAGAAACAAGTACATTTCATCATCATCATATCGACAGCCTTTAATAGTCCACTGCTGGACATAGGCCTCTCCTTAGAAAGGAGGTTTTGGTCTACTAAACTACGTTGGCCAGACGGGTTAGTATTGGGTTTGTGCCAAGTTTTCCTTCTCTTTGCAGTGCTGTTGTCCTGCGTAGTTTGTACCCTTATTCGTCTCTTACGACACTCACGGGATAAATATGGGCGGTGACATTCCATATTCTTAATCCGTCACCACACGGATACATTTACATTAATAAAAAGGGTCATATTGTAAATTTATAAACCAAATTTGCTAACCCTAAAGCTTCTACTAATTGGTGATCCGTTATAACATAACTAAGTTAGATACGCATCGCTAAGTGGTCGCGCGACAAACACAATAATGTTGCCAAGCTTATCCTTGAATTGCTTTTAATTCAGTCCATTGTCACGTCCGTGGGCCTCTAAAAAGGTTGGCCCCATTCTCAGAACGTCTATTATTATCAAGCACTATTAAATCTTTACGTAATACCAGGTATTTATATACCTACGTAACTTTTATTTGAAAAATAAAAAACAAGTAATTTAGACCAAACTTTATTTATTAACTAGTTGTTATTATTTATTAAAAGACGGTCATATTAGAAGACGGTATAATAATGAATTTAGTGCCTGTACAGAAAATACTTAACATTAATAAAAATATGTCAGTTAAATTTTGCTTTCAAACTTTCGCAAATGCTACAGTTGTCTATTCATATATGTCATACTTACAAGTAACTCCATATATGCAAGTAAAGATTAAATACTTTTTAAATAGATGCTTTTTCTATGTATAAAAATCAAAAGTATGATCAGTAGAAGTCCGCTTCTATTGACAATAAACGGTAATACAATCTTTAGATCTTGCTCCGCACAAACCAATCTAACTATAATGCACATGTTTTGTAGACTATTACTATAATTACCTACGTACTTAAGTAACTTAATCTTCCTTCTCTCAACGTTCCACGGGCCTAGTTCCGAAGACTTCCCTACGTCATTATATGCTCAATAGCAGATAATAACGTTAATAGACTTATTTCAAACATGTTACAGACGTATATAGATATAATTATATATTGCGTATACAAATATATGCAGGCAAATAAACGTATTATGCGGTTGACGTAAGCGTTGTGTAAGGTAAATTATACTCCGAAATATACTGTGAAGATGTTGCTAATAATTGAGCGATTTGCAGGTAATTGATGTTTAAGAAATTTAGTATCAGTTATTATAACGTTTTAAGTGATGAACGATTTCGGTCTCTTGTTTAGTAGACACAGAGTATAATGTCGTCTATGCTATAGTTCATGAGCTCGAATGACTGGTGTTCAATTTTGTTATGGTATAAGGGGACGAAGGGGGAGAAGATGTGTCACCTGATAGCATATTACGTAACTACCGCCGCCCATGAACGCCTGTAACTGAAGAGTCACAAGTGCGTTGCCGTGCTTTGAGTGTCCCTGGAATTATGGGGAGAGGGAGTTTAGGCCCTGCAGTGCTATTCTCTAAGGAAACAGTCTTGCGTACAGCGCTGCCACAGCGTCAAACGTTAAACATCGAACGTTTGAAATTCGACGCTACAGCCCTGTCACACTCACTTACTCGCTCACTCGGTGAAAAGCCACGAAAGATCTGCTTAACACTGGTTTTCTGCGAGGCCGTGGTATCACTCCAAACGAGCCGATCCATTTGGGCAGAAGCATGGCTCTCCCACAGTCGGTGTTCTTTAAATAGATTGAAATTGCGACTGTAAACTTCTTCATTTAATAGACTTCGGAACATTTTTACTTAGTATTTTTAGTATCGACATGACAAATTTCATTAAAATCGGTTCAGCGGTTATTTATTTCCCATACAAACTTACACTCCCTTAGAGGTGATTTCTAGGATTAAAACCTATGTCCTTTCACGGGACTCAAACTATCGCTATACCAAATATCATCTGAATGGGTTCAGCGGTTTAAGCCTGAAAAGGGACACTCACATTTATAATATTAGTAAGACACTTAAAATAAAACATGCATAAAAAACGTGCATAAAATAGTACCAATCTTATCTCCAAAAACATTAAACCACTTAAGTATGTAAAACATTAGTAATATTCAGTACCAAGATTTTTAAATGCCAGGCTACTTTCCCAGTCCATCGTGCGAGCTTTCAAGTAATCCACAAAGGGCACTATTTTTCACTTCTAGATAACGTCTTAGGGCAGACAGCCGAGCTAAAGGCCTGTCTTATTAGACTTTCGTCCGTTCTGCGCAGGACCACCGGGTAGAGGTTTTTGTTACACTCTGCTGAGATACGTCACGGTACTATGTCCAACATTTATTACTGTTTATAAATGTTTAGATTGCGTCTGAGTTCATGGTAATGTACTTTTGGTACTAATAGGTTACATATGTATTTACATAAAGCTTTAAAAGAACACCATGACTGGTTATTTTAGAAATTCTTTTTTACGGTGTATATGAGCAGACTGATTCTTTTTACGGTTTTTATTTAATTTTGAAGCTAGCTACATTTTTTAGTAGCTTGTTTGTAATATGATCGACGGTCACACTATCCATCGTGTACGATTATCAAACTATCTACTACTACTGACTATCGAAGGACGATGAATCAAAATTTGTAATAAAGAAATGATCGTACTAAACTACATAAAAAAGCTGTGCATCTGTAATCGATAGTCAAACATCGATCAAAAACGTGATCAATGAATTGTAATGTAGGTGACAAATACGTAATAAGGATAATTATAACAAATATAGTCAATAAAGCAAATGACTCATACAGGCTTACGACGATGAGTATCGTGTACTCATACAGGCCCACACGATACAGGCTTGCCTAGTGTGGGGACCGCGTTTAATATTTATCTGATAAGATCTGCTACACTAATTTTATGTCTTGTTAAGCACTCCTGTAATTTATTTTCTTTGTGTTTCTAAAAAAATATTTTTTCATTTTTTTGCAGCAAATGGACTCATATTAGTCTAGCTCATTAGATGAGCATAATAAAAGCGGGACATTCGTCTACGTATAATATTACAAAAGTTAAGTTGTATTAGTGAACTTAAAAGAGAATACTTGGTACATTCTCGTCCATTTGTAATAGTCATTGTTTTTGTTTGGTCCATGTATTAATAGGACATATTTGGACAACGAGCGACGTGTAATGAATAAAGTTTTACAAGTTGAACAAGAACGGAAAGTTCGTTAGTTACGCTGA